TTGATTTTGTACAATTTGCGCTGAATTGTGCACCCATCTGGGACTTTAGGAAGCTTGGACACCAACAGTCAAACCTGATTTATTTCTGACGAAGGGTCTTGGCCCGAAACGTCAGCCTTCCTGCTCCTATGATGCTGCTTGGCCTGCTGTGTTCATCCAGCTCTACACCTTGTTTTCTGCGCACAGTAGGAAGTTTAGGAAATGTGAAGAAAACAAGTATTACAAGCTCTTTCTCTCCATGGCAACAGCATTCATAGTGCACATATTTTAACCAAACATTATGTATGTCAATAAATTACTCCAACAAATCAATTGCCAGAGATTGAAATTTAGCATCAGCACAGATCAGAAATTGGAAGGTTGTCTTGTTTAATGTGGCAGAATATAGTACCACTTACACTTTAGCTATATGATACTATGTAAGGTTCTTTAATTTGTTTACTGAACTGGGAGTAGGATAGAGATCAAATTCTGATCTTGTCAACAACATCCAGATCTCCTGAACAAATATAAAACAAAACCAACTGAACATTTATTCATGTCTTCAATACAGCTATAGAAACCATGTGAAGGCTTAAAATATTTTGATCTTGTATACTTGAACTTGTAAAGATGTTAAGAGGAAGGTACTTTGCAGGGAAGTTGTCGTATAGATTTGGAGCAGTAGGTGAAGAGAGGAAACAGACTTCTTGCTTTTGTCATGGAAACAAACTGTTAATGTAAAATCATTTGCAATCACAGGTTGACCATTGATTAGTCAGCATCTGAACTGTAACTTCTACATAATGTACTGGAATAGGCTAAAATCAATATGAAGGTCCAACACCGCATCAATCTGCAAGCACCACCTTTGGACGCCCTAGGATGAGAGACTTTGATGTCTGTAATATCTGTGCTGATAAGAAGATCCTCATGCGTAAGGCAGTTGATCTTCCAGCTTTTCTGGATGGCTCAGAAACTTGGACTACATATAGATGTCATCTCAAGTACCTGGAGAAGAACAATCAATGCTGTTTGAGACAAATTCTCCACTTCAGCTGGGAGGATAGACGTACTTACATCAGCATCCTTGAAGAAGCCAATAGCACAAGCATCAAGGCCATGATCATCTAAAACCAACTCTGCTATGCTGACCATGTGCTTCGAATGCTTGAGTTCTGACTGCCAAACCAAATCTTCTTTGACTAGCTCAAAGAAGGCACTTGAATGAGAGGGGGTCGAAGGAAGCCCTTCAAAGACTCCCTTAAGGCTTAAGAAATGCAACTTAGATGTCAACACCTGGGAAGCTCTTGCTTAAAAATAAATCTGACATGGAGGAACCACGTGTGGTCAGAGATGTGGCTCTAGGATCAGACACATCAGCCATACAAGGGCCCACAGAACCCATGATCAGTGACACAATTTCCCATGTGGACAATCATATGCATTAGTGTCAGAGGGACAATATTATGGGAACATGGCACTGTCAGAGGTGTATTCTTCTGGGCAAGACATTAAATTGGCTTTGTCTATCCGCTCAGATGGTTATGAAAGATCCCACTGCATTATTTCAGAGTGCAGGCGAATTATCCCCATATCCTAGCCAATATTTATCACTCAAATCAAAATCAGCAAAAACAAATTACCTGATTATTATTGTTGGAACTTTATATGCTCAAACTTTCTACTGCATTTCCTACATTACAACAATGACTGCACTTTAGAAGAACTTAATTGGCTGTAAAATACTTTAGGACATTATGAGATGTGCTATATAAATGCAAGCCTTTCATTTCTTTGTTGAATTATCCCATTCTTTTGAATGGGACCATTTTGACAAAATTGAATCTGGGTTAAGTGGATGGACCATTACTGTTGCGTCTGAAGTTTTAGTCGAGGATCTATGTTTCACAAATCAATTCATGCAGTTTTTAGGATGCACTGTGCCCTGTGTCTGCAACATATGGTTGTGAACTCGGTATCAGCTCAATTTAATCTTAAAACACAAAACGTGAACATGACTCACTTTCAGATGCTTTTTCTGAGAAAAGATAGGATACAAATTCTGAAAGATATTATCCAGACCAAGGAAGAAATAAAGGACTTACTCCTGACTACACTACTCTCGATACCACCTATCTTTGTGTCTTCAGAAGTCTCAGTTAAGTGTTCTCTATTGGGTTAGCTAATGCATTAATAAACAGAGTGAATGGTTGAGACTGCAGAAAGCTCCTTGTGGAATAGGTAAGTCACTTACATCCAATTTGATTACATACACATTGTCCCTACTTTCTTCTACCACCTAACCATTCTCCTAAGGTGATCGATAATTAGCTTTCAATTCTATAAGTTTTCATTTAGTTAGCCATCTCTCTGAGGAGAACAAACAATTATTTATATATGTAAAGTATTTCTCATGTAATAAATGTTCCAAGATACTTCAGTGGAGGGCTCCAAATTAAGAGAATTACATTAAATAACATTGAAGGAGGTATTAAGTAATATCGAAAGTTTGGTCAAAAATGTAGGCTTTAAGTAGTATCTTAAAGGAGGAAAGTGTGGTCATGAAGTGGAGAATAACAGATAGACCTCATCAAATACCTTCTGGAACTCTATATATGTTAGATTCCCCTCTTTACTAGCTTAGTTACATCCTGTAAATATCTCATGCAGTTTTTTAGATATGACCTACCCTGTACAAATCAACGTTGACTCACTCCAATCAGGTCATATTTCTTTCAATGCTCAGTTACTTTATCTTCACTTATAAATTCCAATAAGCTCCCCATAACAGATTGCACACAAGCAGGTTTATAATTTCCGGATTTCTTTCTCTCACTTTTTTAAAATAATGAAATTATATTTGTTTTGAACAAACATTTTGGATGGAATCTTCTCCGGCTCTAAAAACATGAACACTGTAAGAAAGTTGGGAGAATCATGTGAGGTCAGCGGTGAGGAGCTTTATATCAGCCACAATCGAATGGCAGAGTAGACTCAATCAATCAAATCGCCTAATTCTGCTTCTATATCTTATGACCTTGAGGTCATGACATTGAGAGCAAAACGTCCCCTCTTCCAATCAAGCGTTTAACGGCAAATGAGATTCTCACTAGTGAGCAGTAAAGGACTTATTTGCATGTATTAGTATGTATTAATTATTGTGTCATCCCACCTCATTGATGTGCAGTTTCTCATTCTTCCACCCATGGCACAGAAACTAGTTGATGACAATTCCCAATGTGAAAATTAGAGTAATAACCTGCCAACTCCAGCTCGCTACTTGTTCCTCTGTCAGTCACCAGCATTGCAGGGCATGTTCTTTGCCAGAAACCACATACAGCCCACTTTCCCCTCTCTTGTCGACCTGGAGCTTCAAGACTCCAAGCCTCATTGGCAAAGCCGGGAGCCAATTTTTCTCTATTTGGCAATTGACGGGCTTTTTTCAGGGCATTTGTGGACTTCTAGCACTTGACCAGGTTAACAGCCAGGCTTTAAAGATAGCACTGGTGCCAGGAATCCCAGGACATCCCACCAATGGAAAAATATAAGTGGAGCGCCATAGGGACATGGAACATAAATAATGAGGTGAGTTTGGGATGACAGCGTGAAAAACCTGCTAGGATTCATGGAGAGAAAGCCTCTATGAAACTCACCATGCATGACTCTTAGCCAATTTCTGCTAAGATTCAGCCTTTGTTTTGAAGTGTAGTCACCACTGCAATTTATGTTCAGCAAGTTGCCATGCGCAATAATGGCATAAAAAACTGTTAATCTACTTTAGTAACATTGATTGGCCATCTCAACTGGAGATGACTGCCCTGTTCTGCTTTGAATAGTTCCATGAGAATTTTTACATCCACCTGAGAGTTTTTCGAGGCTTCAGTTTAACATCTCTTCAATGGGTGTTATAGCTGACAGTGACGCACTTCCTCAGTACTGTATTTAGATGTCATCTTAAATTATTTGTTCAAATTTATGAAAACAATTGTTTTCTAACAACTATGCTGTACAATGAGTCAAGGCTGCATCATTTGACCACCTCTTTTCCAACTATCCCCTTTACCAATTTCTCCATTGGGATCAGCTAACTTAGCAGAAATCAGAGATCAGATTAATTACTTGCCTTATCCATATGTCACTCTACTGCCCCATATGGTACGGACCCCAAAGGAGCAGTCATAGGGGACCAAGTAAGATGGAATCTGTTTATTGTTTATGACTTAATTTCACAAATGTGCAGAATTCTGTTACCTTAAAGTTAGCAATGCTGTTGAAATAGCAGGGATGCATTTTTCAGCTGAATGTGTTAATTGTTTGTATATTCCACAGCAATTGTTTATTCTGAAAATAGGAGTCAAATCTTTCATAGCTTTCCCAAGCCATTTGGCTTCCATTTGCTACCACAGGCACTAAAGGCTTCCAAGGTTGATGACATAAAACAGCCTTTGGAGCAGATTGAAACCTCTGAGGGTGGCACAGGGAAATAAGGGAAAGAGATAAATGTGTATTGAGCTGAAGGAAAAGAGATTGAACTAGCTGTATTCTATTATCTTAGCTAATGCTTTGCAACAGAGAGCACAAGATCAATGCTTGATTGTAAATAGAGGCTGATACGATTAAATAAAAAAAGTAATCCCATAAAACATTAAACCACAATTAAGTAACTTAATTGACAAAGCAGTGAGGATAAGCTATTCGATATATGTCAGGTTCCTTAAGTTTATTTTGTTTTTACTATTTACCTGTATTCGAGAAACTAATTTTTTGCATGTGCTCTAAGTAAAGATGTTTAAGCAATGCATATTAATGGACATGTTTATTTGTGCTGATAGTAAAGTTTCTGGCCCCTAATATTAACTCGTCCAGCTGAAACCCTTCTCAGCTATTTGAACAGCTATACTATTAACCCAAAGCTAACAGAACTTCCACATCATTGTGCATGTCTGCTATAAAACATTGATGTATTGGATACTTAAAACTAAAAGATCAATATTTGTTTCCTGGTTCTTCACCAACAGGACTGATACAAAGAAAATCCTGTCCCGAGAAAGGAAAAATAGCAAGCAGTAAGATTGATATATGCTTATGAATGGCAGTAAAAGAAGACTGAAAATAGGTGGATGATAAGGTGAGATAATTTTTGGCAACCGAATTAGGGGATTTTTATAGCTCAAGGAGTACACAATGTTCCTTTTCCTTTTATGCAAGACTGAAGCCTGATGCTAGTCATTTATATCCCATACTAAATATTAATGTACTCCAAACTCACTTTGACAGATTTAATAACAGGCCTCACTGTTTAAGTGCTTTTATCCTTAGTGCACCTCTCCAAGCAGTAAATCGGTAATTAGTGAAATAAAAATCATCACAGAATACTTCTATTACTGGACTAGTAATCCAGAAGCCTGGGCTAACAATCCGAGCATAAATTATTCAAATCACAGCACAGCAGATGGGGAATTTGAATTCAGTGAATTAAACAAATCTGGAGATAAAGGCTAGCCTGAATAATAGTAACCCTGAGACAATGGAATTTGTTGTAGGAATCCCACTGGTTCACTAATACCCTTTAGAAAAGAGATAGTAGGAACTGCAGATGCTGGAGAATCCG